TTTTTATTGACATACACATTCATATCTTTATTGAAATTGATTTCTTCTGAAACACCACTTGGAACATATACGCTATGGTAAAACAGTTTTGTGATATGCTGTAGACTATCCTGAAGACTTATTATATTTACAGTGTGAAGGGTAGTCAATTTTTCACAGTCTTTGAATGCATTTTTACCAATACGGATAACATTTTCTGAAAACTCAATTTTTTCAAGGGATGTGTCTCCAGCAAACATTTCTTCTGATATTGTTGATGACCCATTCATATTGAATAACTTTAATTTGGTCATATTAGGAAATGCCCCCTTTCCAATGTATATATTTAATTTATCATTCAAATTAAAAGTTTCGAACTGCGTACCACTAAAAGCGTATTCATCAATTTTGTTAAAATAATAATAAGTATTACTTGTATACTGTGTAAATTCGATTGTTTGAAGTCCAGTGTTTTTATAAGCATTTTTTCAAATTTCCATGGGCATATATTGATAAAATGTTATTTTTTGCAAGGAAGTAACCCCGTAGAAAGCATTTTCGTCGATTTTATTCACATCATTTAGATTAATATATTCCAACTTTGTTCCAACAAACGCAGACTTTCCAACATAACCAATCACATTTTTAGACTTGGGAAAAGTAAAATTTACCAGATTAGAACATCCTTCGAATGCATAATCATTGATTTGAGTAATTTGTTCTAAAATAACCGAAGTAAACACTGTTTGATCTTTGAAAGCTTTTTCGCATAAATATCCAGATTCAGTGATAACTAAATTCGGATCACATGTAAGGTTTCCGAGTTGGTCGTAATATTTGAAACAATTGTGAGTAGTGTCTTTAATATAACATTGATCAAGTGCATAAGCTAAAACACAGAAAAGGAGAATACTTATCATTGAATAAATTGTTTTTTTTCTTTTTATTTACAAAAAAATCTATAAATGGTTTTTATAAAAAATATGGATAACCTAAAGATTAAAAATGTCAAAACGACTATTTTTGTCTTGTAAATTCTTGTTTTCAAATGTTGTAGAAATTAAATATTTTTTATCAAATTATATATTTTATTGATTATTACAATTTAATAACTTTCCATTGTCGTATTTTTTTTAATAATTTTTCTTTATATGCCTCTTTCATTTTAAAATTCAGAAACGTGGTATTGTAATAACTTTTCATTGTTTATAAATAAAACACAAAACAAGATTTGTATAAAAATCTTGTTTTGAAGAAATAGATATTGTTAATATTTTTATTTTTGTCTGGATTATTTGTTTTCATATCAAACAAATAGTTTTATTATAATTGTTAATTGTATTATATTAATTATAATGTGAAAACTAATATTTTTATGCAAATAAATTATAAATAAATTAATGGTATAAATATTAAACTATGTGTTTTATAGCTGTTGGGCGACTTTACAGTCTCTTTGAAAATCGCCGACTTTTTAATAGTCTTAAAAGTCGCTGACCTAAATATTTAGTTAAATAACTATTTAAAATACCATTTTTATGTTAAAAGAAATTATAAAAAAATGAATCATATAAATTTAATATAATTATTATTAAAAAAAGAAATGAAAAAATACCGTCCCAATTATATCTTCTTAAATCAATTTTTAAATTATATTTATATGATTATAATATAACAAATTATAACAACTATTGTGTTTTTACACGTTTTTGAGACTATAATGAATCTGGTATAATTTATTAAAGTTAATAGTTATTTAGTTCTAAAAGAAGTCGGCGACTTTTGAAGGGACTCAAAAAGTCGCCGAACAGCCATAACATAATTCTTTATAGAGTTGGAGTAAAAAAGTGTGGCTCGATAACAATAACTATATTGTATTGTAAACAACCAATTTTTATTAGTTTCCATTTTTTTGTTTTTTTGGAGTTTTAATTAATGTTTTTGAAATAATACAAAATGTTTTCAATATTATAGCAACTAATATTATAATTTACTATAATTTTTATCGAGCCAGACTTTTTTCCACCTACTCTAGGACTTATAAATTATAATAAGAAAATTTTTTAAAGTGTTTTCTTCGACTTTGTCTTTAATTATTTGGACTCGCAGTAGTATATAAATTCTGTAGTTTTAGGGGGGACAACCTTTTAAACAATATAAAATCGTGGGGGACGCGGAGATCTGAATTTTACCAAAATTCGGGATTAAAGAGTTCCAAAATTTAAAATCTTATTTTTTAATTTTTTCCCTATAAAATGACTTCTTTAGATATTTTCGAAATTTTAAAAATTAATCCAAAATATTCAATAAATAAATTAGGACAAATTAAAAATAATAAGAAAAATAAGTTAATTAAAATTATGATAAGACCGTCTTTAAGATTCGATGCATATGTTAATTTATCTCAAGACAAATATGTTAAAAAATATTCTCTTAGAAGAATTTTCCGATAGATGTATAATTAAATTAATAAATTATGAAAATCCATTAGATTGTTCTATCAATAATTTAAAAGTATTATAACCAATTTTAATTATTTCATTTTTTTATTCCTTTAAAAGATGACTACTCAAGAGAGTAAATTTAACAATATTCAAAAACTAGAAGAAAATTCCGTTTATAAAATAATTGGAGTTAAATCAATAGAAACAAAACTTAATAAAACTCATATTATTCTATCCGAAGATGGTAAACAATATTTTGCTACAGGGGTGTAACTGAACATATAAAAACACAACTGAATCCTAAAGACAGTGTTTTTAAAAATGCCAATTGATTGGTTAATTTTTTTTATTGTTCCATGAACAAAAGGGGGTAATTAATAATAAAAATTCAATAAAAATAACAAATGAAATAAAACCAAATTTAACATTAAAATGTTCATTGAATTAATATTGAGTGTCTTATTTCACGACGATTACAACTTTTTGATGATTAAATTTGGTACATTTAGTTTTTACATATTTAGTTTTTCTTTTCGATATTTTTTGTGTTAACAATATTATATTTACATCATTTGTATCATCAATAATTTTAAGTCTTCTTGACAAAAAGTTGTACCAAAATCAAGACAGAGTTCTTCTTTACCAATATTTTCTTCAAAAATATCGAAGTTGCCAGTCAATATTCATTAACATCAACTTCACGAATTTCACATATTTGAGATGTGAAGTCGGCATCATAAAAAAGATGCGGCGAATTGTCGCAATCAATTACGTGAATGTTTTTCTTCATATAAATATACAGTTTTACAGATCGATTTTGTTTGTTCTATTTTTATTATTTTATTTCAGGGTGCCGATTCAGAATAGATCCAACAATTTTTAATAATTTTGGGGGTAAAATTGTTGATCATCCATATTTAGATTATTAAAAGCTAATTTTAGTAAATTAAGAGTAAGTTTATGATTCAGTTGTAAATTTATATGTTCAGTTACCTTCCTGTAATACTAAAATTAGTAAATATATTAATTCTAAAGATAAATCTATTAAAAATAAATATGAGAATAATTTTAACACTTAAAATAACGCCCTTATTTTTGTTTTGGCCTGTTTTTACAGGGATATTAATCAAATATTTGATGATTTCCCTTTTGTGGCTTGTGTATAGTTTATGCACATAAAATAATCTCTAAAAAATGGAAATTTATTTAATAAACTCAAGATTTCCCGATTTTTAGACCACTTGAATTTTGTTCATTATTATTTAAAGTGTTAACCCAGATTTAAAACCTTTTATGGTTGTTAGAACTAAAAAATATGAAGAATTTGAAAATAAAGATAATCAAATTATTTGATATTTTGATATGGCGTTATGGAATAAATAAATTATGATAATTATGAATATATTTTTAGTAAAAAATGTCCGTTGGTCTAAATGAATATGTCAACACATTAATAAATCAATATGCCACTGATAAGTCTGAGACAACAATGAATATTATTCATTAAGAAGTTTTTGTAAAGCATAGATCTATAAATATACTTATAGGTAAGCCGGGTTGTTCTAAAACAACTTCAATTTGTAAAGAACTTATTAAAATTGATAAAGTTTCTATTGCTTTCGGACAAAGTCTGTTCCACTTGATTATTTGGGTTAATAATACTGGTTCTGATCAAACTTTATTACATTATGAGTTTTTAATTAATATTCCAATACTTAAATTAACATAAAACAATTTGAAATAGCTTATCCTCAATTACTTGAAATTAAAAAAACTTATAATAAAATGATTAGAAAAGAAATACCTAAAGATGAATCTATATTAGAATGTTTATATTTAGATAAATTTCGTGATAAACCTATAGAATCAATTATTGTTTAGATGATGCTGTTAATTGTTTAAAAATGAATCATCTTTATTATCTAAATCATTATACAAAACAAGGCATACTAATTGTTTATTCTTTATAGCTATTCAAATATGGCGAGGTATACCAGCACAGATAAAATCAATATTATCTACAGTATGGATATTTAATTCATTTTCACATCAAATTCTTCATCATATTTATA